CATCAATACATAGTATAAAACAAAGTCGCTTTCGCTGTATGTCCGTATGTATGCTTAGATCTTTAAAACTACGCAACGGATTTTGATGCGGTTTTTTTTAATAGATAGAGTGATTCTTAAGGAAGGTTTGTATGTATAATACATGCATATTGCACCCGTGCGAAGCCGGGGCGGGTCGCTAGTAATATTATATATTAATTTTATGTATTGTTTATCAAGTATGTCTTCTAAACAAACGAACAATTACCGTGAGCTCTATGACAAAATATAATATCATTAACATAAAGTTTCTTAGATAACAGGTAAGATAGAAATACATGGACATCGTTTGACAAGTTGACATTGACAGAGATCACAGATGGCACCAAGTTCAATTGATGGACCTCCATGTGAATATGAATTTAATTAGATGATTGGATGGACGACGTAACCGACGTGCTAAGTTTACTGATGACAAATGTTTCGCACATTTTAAAACATCCTTCACTTTGTAATCCTAAAAGCTTTTAATATTGATTTTCACTTTTTTGATTACACAGATAGATGTCGCTTAACTTAAGATTAAGTTGCACCTCACAAACACTAAATGATTACAGAAGATGATAATATTGCTGATATGGATAGCGGTTCTAATTGCCGTGGTGGTGCTGTACTTACGTCAGGTCTACTCCAGATTTAGTACACATGGCGTCAAGCACTTAAAGCCAGTTCCACTACTAGGCAATATGAGCAAGATCATCTTTCGTATGAAGCATATGGCTTTTGATATCCAAGACTTATACAACGCTTATCCTGAAGAAAAGTAAGTAATAATACTAATAATTATGTATGACATTACAGTTGGTATTATTTTTTTGCGTTGTTATAGGCCCAGTTATCATAGGGAGTTTTCAATACAATGCCTGTGTTATTTTTTTTATCAAAAGAGTTACGATACCAACAACAATAATAAATATAAACTACATTAGAGGTCATTACTCCCTCATCGCTTCCTTTGACCTTATTAGTAAATAAATAATGGCTACTTTATAATAATTTCAGATTCGTAGGAAGGTTTGAATTCATGAATGAGGCAGTGCTGATCAGAGACCTGGAACTGGTGAAAAAAGTTTGTGTGAAAGACTTTGAGTACTTCGTTGATCACCGCAGCTTTGGAAATGACTCGTTTTTCGGAAGAACGTTGTTTTTACTCAGTGGTGATTATGCAGCGAGAAATAATATTTGACCGTTTACTGTATTAGGAATAATTTATTTTCTATCAGAAAGAGGAATATACCAACTTCTTAAAATATTTATGGACTAATAACTAAAGAAAAAATAACCAGTGATCTAAATTATCCTTTTATTTTCAAAAGGCCAAGAGTGGAAGGACATGCGGTCTACGTTGAGTCCAGCGTTCACAAGTTCTAAGATACGATTGATGGTGCCTTTCATGGTGGACGTCGGAGACCAGATGATTGTGTCGCTTAAAAAGAAGATTGTAGATTCGAAAGGTAACATTGCAGATACAGTTCGATAGGTGTAACAGTTGACTTTAAGACCTGTAGTACTATTCGTAGTTAGTAGTCATAAGATCGTTGAAACTGAAAATAGAATGGTTAAGTTTTATTTTAAAAGTAGAAAACATGATTCATATGGTTGATAAAATAATGTATTGTCGTTAATAATTATAACTCATGACCTTTATAACCGACTTTTCTGTTATCAGGTGGCTACATAGATATTGACTGCAAGGACCTCACGACTCGGTACGCAAACGATGTAATAGCTTCGTGTGCTTTTGGCCTGAAAGTGGACTCACAGACTGAACAGAATAATCAATTCTACGAGATGGGCAAGGCAGCAACAAACTTTAATTTTTATCAAGTATTAAAGTTCTTCCTCATCATGAATATTCCAAGAGTTACGAAGGTTAATTTTATGATATCCCTCAGAAAATTATAATATTAACTAAATATATAGGAATTGTATGTAATTAATCATTTGCAGATATTTAAATTGGACTTAGTGACAAATTCCGTGCAGAAGTTTTTTACAAATTTGGTGCTAGATACTATGAAAGAGCGAGAAATGCGAAATATTGTTAGACCTGATATGATCCATTTGCTTATGGAGGCTAAAAAAGGTATACCCACTGAAACTACAACACGTGCAATTTAGTTTCTAAATACCTACTAATCAAGAAAATACTAATAATATTTGCTGTCCAGGTAAATTATCTCACGATGATGTCAAATCTAATGATGATGCTACTGGATTTGCTACTGTTGAAGAGTCTTCAGTTGGACTAAGGAATGTCATTAATCGAGGTAACAACTAACTTGTTAATATTTAAGCATTTTAGTACTAAAAGTTCTTTATTAAATTTCAAACTTTCCAGAATGGAGCGACAACGACCTGGTCGCTCAAGCATTCCTGTTCTTTGTGGCTGGTTTTGAATCAGTTTCGTCAAGTGTGTGTTTCTTATTATACGAATTGGCTGTAAGTCCTGACGTACAGGAGCGCCTGGCACAAGAGATTAGGGAATATGATGCTAAGAACGGTGGCAAATTCGACTTTAACTCTATACAGAGCATGAAATATATGGACATGGTTGTCTCAGGTAAGACTAGAGATATACGAACAGAAGAAGAAATATCACTCGTTCTAAAAGTTCTAAAAGAACACATTATTTTTAGAATTATTGAGACGATGGCCCACAGCTGTAGCCACTGATAGAATTTGTCACAAGGACTACAACATAGGTAAACCAAATGCCATGGCTGAGAAGGATTTCATAGTAAGCAAATTCAACAATATCGTAAATTATTCGACTAAAATATATAATTCTATAAAACAAAATTAAATTTTACAGATACGTAAAGGTACTGGTGTCATGATGTCCGCCTTTGCCTTCCATCACGACCCTCAGTACTTCCCGGAGCCAGAAAAGTTCGACCCGGACCGTTTTTCTGAAGAAAATAAACACAAGATCAATCCAAATGCATACATGCCTTTCGGTGTTGGTCCTAGGAATTGTATAGGTATGATTATGATACTCTAGTCTCTTATTTTGGAGCATTTCTATGTTAGAACGTGTGGTGTTATAATTGACAGGGTCAAGATTTGCTCTCTGCGAGATGAAGGTGATTACCTACCAGATTCTAAGGCACTTGGAACTGTCTCCCTGTGAGAAGACCTGCATCCCTCCCAAGCTTGCTACCGATAACATAAACTTAAGGCTACAGGGAGGACATTGGCTCAGGTTTAAACTGAGGAAATAGAAGATTTCTTAATGGTGACTGGGAAATTTACTCTTAAGGAGGAATCATTTAATCATATCGAATATTAACAGTTATATTTACGTATTTTGCACAATTAAAGTATTGTTTTTAAAATGTTTGTCTTATTTCTAGCTATCCCTTGTCTGTCAGTTAGTAGAATGACTGGCAAGTACAAAAACTTCAGATGTCAATTCATAAGACGGGTCTTATGTCCAGGAATAATAATAATACTATTCATTTTGTATTCATCTTTGTTTTGTGTGTGTGTGTTTGTATTCATCTCAAAAGTATTCATCTTGACACAGTATATCAGTAAACTTGATCGTGCTCCAACGTAGACCGCATCATCGCTTACCATCAGGTGAGATAGTGGACAAACGTCGCCCCATCAACTATAAAAAAAAAAAAATATCAAACTAATATTATGAATGTGAAAGTTTCATTCTTTGGATGTTTGTCCGTCAATGACGCTGAAACTACAAAACGGATTTTGATGAAATTCTTTTAATATGCTGACTGATATTTAATGTGCTGACTTAAGTGATTGGATACTTTTAATCTCGATTAAATGTTCCCATGGGATAAAATAGGAATCATATTCTATTCTATATTATATGAAGTCGCAGGCAACAGCTAGTATGATTATAATATCGTATGCAACTATTTATTACGAAAAACTTTTTATCAAGTCAAAAATCAAATCAATTAAATTATTAATCAAAGATACTTAATTCAAATTAATGATGAATATACGTAACGAAATATTCATACGGAATTAACTCATTTATTGTTTATTCGGAATAATGAAAGTTGGATAAACAAAGCAGATTTCAAAGATAAAGTGTTATAGGGGCTGATGTAATAATGGAGGCTTATGTTGTTTTATTCTTATCTATGTCCCCTGGGTACATAAACTTCTACACTGTGGCAGTTTCACAAATTATATTCCCGACTCCTCAGAGAGTGTGGGACTGTGGACCGAGTCACACGTGCGTGGGTGCGTACGGAACATACCGGCGTTATTTTGCTATTTGTTGGATTTAATGTAAGTCTTTCATTTTAATTATAACATAGTCTTCTAAATTTTATCGTCATCTTGACTCACGTGTTATTAAATATCTATTATGAAGGTAAACCAAATTGTTGTTATTAGAATAATAACAAAAGGGTCAAGGAACTTTAATGTGTAAACAAACAAGTTACTGTGCGACCGACATTACAAATAGATATATTCAAAAGTGATAACAAAATGATACTCTCTGTACATTATTATCTATTCCTTTCTGTTTAGACATTAACAGCATACAAATTGTATCAAAGCCAGACAGTTGGTAGTGCCGACGCCGGCCGGCTGACCTTGAGTGACGTAAACATTGTTTACTAGCCACGAAAAATGCGCGTGTTGTAGCGTAATGAAATAAAACAGTTGGATACGTATATTAGATCAATATTTAGGTACCTACACCGACTACCAAAAATTGTAAACCTGCGCATTAAAATCAATTTTTGGCCTTAATAAATTGGTGGTGTGGAGTTTTTGTCAAAAGCAAGGATCTATTCAGAGATTTTGTATAAGTCACGGTCGGCTATTGATTTTGGTCGACAATGCTATATTTTTCTATTGTATCGTTAGCGTTTCGCTGTTATAAAGGAAGAGGAAATTAGATATGTTAGAGTTGTGTGCTTGTGGTGTTACCATGACAGTATACAGTTTCTTATGTAATGTGTTTTAGTATAAAATCGAGTCAAACATTATTAAGAATTGGAAATGGATCAATTTACCCTCATCTAATCTGTATTATTTCTGGACCAATTAACAAATAAATATAATATCATCAAAAGTTCCACTCATTAAATGATTTCGGTTAAGAATTGTTCCTTCTTTCAAACAGTATGACATCACCTGTAGGACATCGAAAATTCCAGATTCCTTTCACTGCTTGTAAACAAACTACCAGATAAGTAGACAGTTAACATCATTCAACAAATTACTTGATAACAGTGCATCTTTATTTACAAACAAATGAAATGAAATTAGACGTCTAATTAGACGTCTTTATGTATCCTGTTGATTCCCTACTTTAAGGACAGCATTATTCACAAAATATTTTAGTAGTAGTCATAGTAATAAAACGATAATAAAAATGAATGCGTTGAAAGTAGTGGCCAAACGCTAATCTATCAAATATACAACGAGGCCACTTCTAATTTCCTTTACACATGATCTTTCATCTAAATACTTATGGTAGACGCCACACATGAAACACTTCGCTTCAAGTTTCCTTGTGCGTACTGCTAAGGAGTGGAATTTTTTGCCAGAGTCTGTATTTTCCGAAGGGTAAAACCTGGGTCTCTTCAAGGCCCGAGTGAATAGGTAGGTCATGGGACGATGTGCTCCGTCATAGACCGCATAATCGCTTACCACCATGCGAGATAGTGGTCAAGCGTCGGCCCATCAAATATAAATGAAAAGTACTAACTAAATATACATAATTATATTTTTCAGATATCACCAAAATGATCCTCACGCTCATATGGGTAGTGGTCATAATTGCTGCAGCCGTGCTGTTCCTTCGACAGGCGTACGCAACATTTGATCGATATGAAATTAAATATTTAAAGGCAGTACCCATTTTATCCGACATAGTCTCGATGATCAGACCTAAGGAACATATTGGTCTAGATCTCGCGAGAACTTACAACAGTTTTCCTAATGAGAGGTAGGTCAAAGTTATTAATTTATTTCAACAATCTTGTAAAAGGTGAGTAAGTAATGGAAAAGTGAAATAAATGTTGCTTAACTGTGCTTTTTAGACAAGTTCTTCTTAAAATCCTAACTGTTCCAGGTTCGTGGGAAAACTCCAGTTTCTGAAAGAGGCGATATTAATACGTGATCCTGAACTGATCAAGAAGATGACAGTGAAAGACTATGAGTACTTCCTTAACCATCCCAACACTGGACCTCCTGAATCATTCTTTAGCAAACTATTGTTCTTTATGAAAGGTATTTCTCATTTTAATATTTTTGCCTTTGTCGTATGTAGTTTGACTTCTTATTTATAAAATTTTACTGAATAATAACAGGTGAAGAATGGAAGGAAATGCGCTCCACGTTGAGTCCAGCGTTTACAAGCTCTAAGATACGCCTGATGGTACCTTTCATGGAGGAGGTCGGAGACCAGATGATATTGTCGCTTAAGAAGAAGATCGAAAATTCAAAAGGTTTGTAGCAACACACATAGTTTCATGGTTGCACCATTATGGTATACTGGGGCATGCAACGGTAGTTTTTTTTCAGAAACCTTATTTATTTATTTTTATTTATTTATTTATTTATTTATGTACACACATTCAACACAGAGGACAACACATATATAAAAACAGAGTACATAGGCCCCACATATTCCAACTGGAATCTCTTCCTGTAGTTAGTCCTTATTGTAGTTTCGAACTCTTTTTCGGTTCAAAAATGCCGACGATCTCTCAATATTGGAGCATACATAGGCAGCCGATCTTTAAGTAATTATTCCATTCACATTGCGGTTTTGAGTGTTATATCTTGAATATCTTTATTTTCAGATGGCTACGTAGATATTGAATGCAAGGACCTCACAACACGTTACGCTAATGATGTGATAGCATCCTGTGCCTTTGGTCTGAAGGTGGACTCTCATAATGATGAGAACAACCAGTTCTACTCAATGGGAAAGATACTTAGCTCATTCAGTTTGGCTAAAATACTGCTGTATATGATCCTTGTCAATATACCATATGTTATGGAGGTATGTAATTGTTTTATGTAGTTCCACGATAACAACCTACAAGTTTTTTATTCTTCTATGTCATAATATTCAGTAGACTTTTCTTTTACTGTAAATCTTCTTTAGTTTTATAGGAATATTTTCAATTAATTAAAATCACGGGTTACACACGCGACGTTGCCGCGACCGCACACGCTGCTCATGAGGAAGAACCCCTCTGTGGTTCGAAACTAGTAGAGCTTTTCTAAGTATATTCACGTGAGTAACCCCTGATTTGAATTAATTTAGTATGTGTCACGATAGTTAAAATATTTTCAAAATTAATTTTCTTGAATTTTCAGATTTTAGACTGGGATTTCATTCCAAAGTCAACTCAGAGATATTTCAAAAGTCTGGTATTAGAAACGATGAAGAACCGTGAGTTACAGGGCATTGTGAGACCTGATATGATTCATCTTCTTATGGAAGCAAAGAAAGGTAAAATAACATTACAATTAGGATTCTGGTCAAAAAGTTTCTATTTCTGTTTAAATGTCTGTGAACTTTGTTTGTTATTATTTGTTTCTAGGCAAATTAAAACATGAGGATGATAAGTCAAGTGATGATGGAGCCGGGTTCGCGACTGCTGAAGAGTCTTTGGTTGGAAAGAAAGCCATTACAAATAAAGGTATTAGATTATAATGGAACCGACATCTAAAAACATTACAGCCGTTGTTTTATTACAATACTTTTTTTCTTATTACAGTGTGGACTGATGAAGATTTGGTGGCTCAAGCATTCATTTTCTTTGTTGCTGGCTTCGAATCAGTTTCATCAAGTATGTCGTTCTTACTGCACGAGCTGGCACTGAACCCTGACGTGCAGGAACGCTTAATACAGGAGATCAGAGAACATGATGAGAAGAATGGAGGAAAGGTGGACTTCACCTCTATACAGAGCATGAAATATATGGATATGGTTGTCTCAGGTAGGGCTATCTGTAATCAAAGTCGAGATTCTTTAATCCGGCCAACGTATCAGGGTATATAATAATTATGTTTCTTCTTTACAGAGGTGTTAAGATTATGGCCTCCATTTGTAATCCTTGATAGAGAATGTACCAAAGATTACAACTTGGGAAAACCCAACGACTCAGCTTCACGAGAATTCGTTGTAAGTTATCTGTATTATTACACTATGCAGTCTATGTAGTATACTGTTTATCTTTATTTCTTGTCCTTTTAAATTATTAGGGGTTCATAGACTAGTAAGCATAAAATAAGTGAGAATTTTCTTATTTCTCAGGTACAAAAAGGTGCAGAATTGTGGATTCCAGCGTATGCCTTCCACCGCGACTCTCAATACTTCCCAGACCCTGACAAGTTCGATCCTGAGCGTTTCTCCGATGAAAACAAACACAAAATCAAACCATTTACATACATGCCTTTTGGTTCTGGTCCTAGAAATTGTATTGGTAGGTATTTATGTCCATTTGAATTATGTTTATAAGACTTCAAAGTCAAAATCATTTATTTCAATTTAACCAGGAAGGCACTTTTAAACGTCAATAAAAAGTGAAGCTAATTGCTCGTTCCAAGGTGTCGATTTCTATGGAGAAGAACGAGCTAGAAACTCCATTCTTATTTATTACTATTATCTATTAACATAATAACATAGTAGTTTGTTGGTTCGATTGTGCGAGAACAATGTAACACAAAAATTCAGTCAAAGAGCTTGAATTAAAACATTAAGGGCAATAAATCATGTAACAAGCCAAGAACACAGCGAACTAAATGCACTGCCATACAAAAATTACACTTGGTGTATCGTAGAACTGAAAATCGAATAGTTCTGAGCATCTTTTCATTGTTACTATCGCCAGGTTCAAGATTTGCTCTCTGCGAGATGAAGGTGATAGCCTACCAGCTTCTGCGTCATGTGGAGCTGTCACCGTGTGAGAAGACCTGCATACCTGCCAAGCTCTCCACTGACAGTTTCAACTTGAAGCTGGAAGGTGGACATTGGTTAAGGTTTAGACTAAGAAAGTAGAACTTTTATTGTGTCATTCAACCTAAAATCATGTGTTTGCTGTCGTAGTGATGGCAAAGTATAGATTTATCATCGCTACTTTTTCTCACGAGTGTGTTGTCGTATGCAGTGGACTGACCAGGATTAGTTGGTTCACTGGACGTATGTTACGAATGCTACTGTAATTGCTTGATACTCAGAGCTGTAGATGATGAGATGAAAGATGACTTCTGAATGGAATACCAAGTTTAGAACTGATCAAATTGGAATTAATTTTCTGTGCAGGCCATTATTGGCATAGACATAATATAACTTATTTATTAAGTTTTTTATTAAAATATAATGTTTCATGTAAGTGTCGTATATCTTTGATATTTCATGTGCATTTTAATAGTAATATTAATTTAGAACATTTAAGTAGTTATTAGATGTCACGGCAAACTTCGTACCGCCTAACCATGCAAACGGAAATTAATTTTTATTTGTATAGATAGTACTGAAATAGGCTGTAATAAATATTTTTAACTGAAATATAAGGATTTTAACTTATTATTTATTTGAGTTACAGTTTAATTTAAGATACATGAAAATCACGATGACAGGTATTGGTTAGTTAAAATAATATCTGTATCGTAAATTTAGAAAAAGCAGGTGCCAGTTGTGGAACCAGGCTCTAGTCTACACCCGTGTAAATCATCAGGTTCATCATCAGTACCCTATGTGCCCACTTCTGAGTAAAGCGTCTTCTTACAGGAGAAGGTTTGAGCATTAATCACCACACTTGCTCAAGGCGGGTTGGTAGAAGATATTGTTATGACGATATTAATGTAATTACAATATTTATTCTGTCTAATCTGTGAACTGTTTATACCTACTACACAGAACGTAGAGACACGATCCACGTAGTTTTTTATTATTAAACAATTTAGTAATTCAGCTGTGATTGGTTGAGCGATATACTAGCTACCAATGAGGATGTAAGTTTTATTTTTTGATGTATTTGTTCCTCACTGAGGTCACTGTGTTGTAATCAGTGCTGCTACTGATACGAGTGAAGTGACATTATTAAATAACTTTATTGTGTGAATAAATACGATTTATAGGTAAGATATTTTTAAATTTATGTGTTGCGAATAAAAAAAGGTATAATTTTTGACATTTAAAACAATAGGCTGGTTTATCTCTGTTTCGTATTGTTAAAACACTTTTCAGGTAACGTTATTCTTACTAATAAAGAGATTTTTAACTGAAGCAAATAATTATAATTTATTAATAAGGTACATATTTTTCATTTTATAATTAGTTATGTATATTTTATTTGCAATGACTAGGTACCTAAATATTTTATTTCATATGTAATGAACTGAAGCTGAAGACGTCTCAGGGTGGCACTGGTAAATGCAAGGGAATTGAACTTAGAGCTTCAATACTCGAAATTATTAACAAATAGCTATGCCCATGACTTTGTTTGCGCTGAATAGTTGTTATAGTTGACTGTGACTTTGAATAATTTTTCCACGATAAAAAGTACCCTATGAAAGATTCACCGCTGCTCTCCTGTAAGTGATAGCCTGATAATATGATATGTTGACCGACGATGTTTGTAATTGTAATAGTTACTAATCTTCATTGCAAGAAGGAGATTCTTGCAGCATTTTTTGAGTTTAGCCCGGACATGCATGCAACAAACATTCTAAAAACTATATTTTTGACTTCGATATCGATTGTAGATTACGCATCTTCTTGTGAAAATGTAGCCAATGTACAATTTTGACTTTCCTACCAATATACGATTGTGGTTAGTCGGACTTTCAGGCCCAACGATTTCTACAACTATTTCTGTATTATGGCCGTTTAGACGGGAAATGAATCATGCAGATTTAGTTAATCACATTATCTGTTTGATATATCGTAAAATGTTATCACTATTGTATAATTAGAAATGCTGATGTAACGTGGAAAATCATATTCTTTTGTTATTGTGTCATGCTCCCTAAATAACTAAAAAAGCTATATTATCAGTAGATTTTAAAAATTAAATACGAATGTACTCATCGAATGAAATGTCTAAATAAATCGGCAATTAATAGAATAAAATAATAAACCCATTAACAGTCATTATCATCGGACTACATAGGCTTCTCTAACAACACGATCTTCAGCTCTTAGTATCTATCCACTGCCAAGCACTTTGTTACTATAGATCTTAAGCACACGTCTATCCTAGCAGTCATAGGTTCTTCAAAAAATTAATGTAATTGTGCCACTGCATAATACTTTTAAACCTTAGGGTTAAGTAGACAGCATAATATTAAATTCTTTGTTTCAATCGATCATTGTTCGATCATTTTAGAGGGACTTTTGGCTTATCTCCCTCTGGAAATTGGATTTCTGTTATTCATTTACCCCAAAAATATGGTGATGATTGGGATCCAATAAACATTAAAAAAATGAAAATATCTTAGTATTCGTAGATAAAAGTTCATTCCCTGATCAGAATCATTATATTTGTTACCAAGTGGTATAATATAATATCAGTATCGCCATTAGTAAACTTGATGATGTAATAATCATGCTAGCAGATATTGCATGACACCATACACGTGTCGACCTTGAGTCAAATGGACAATGCTATGGTCCCCCAAATTCAGTTAACGAACTTCTATTGGCAGAATGTTTATGATCCTTATAGTGACGCCAAGTCGAATATCAACTAAATTAGGACTCGAAAACATAATATATTAATATATAAATAATCTAAATATTAGATAATCCATAAGCAAGTGGCATATCGCTATTGGAATCAGGATAGCAGAGAAAAAAGGCGCTGGCAGGAATCTTTGGCGATTATCGTAAGCAGTTTCATAATAATAAGGTTTATTTTTACTTCTTTTACAGACAACAATGTTCTACTTAGTATTGGTAGCATTTCTACTGTGTGTGTTAGCACTATATTTGAACTATGTAAACTCAACCTTCAAACAGTATGGCATCAAACATGATGCTACTATCCCATTGATTGGTCCTTTCATCAAACTGCTGAGGGCCAAAGAACATATAAGCCAAAACCTCAAAAAATTGTATGACAAATATCCTGAAGAAAGGTGAGATATATATTTATATATATATAATTTGTCTGTAATACATAGTGGCTAAATAGTGAACAAACAAACTAGTATTATTATACAGTTCATTCAGTTTTTATTCTCGTGATTTTTATTTAAATCTACTTATTTTATGAAGCCATAAAATTTGGTCTCAGGGCTTTAGAAGGTCTGAACCATTTCTTAATCATTTTACTGTTTAATTTGTTGGCAATAACATTTCAGATTTTTGGGCCGAACCGAATTGCTGAAGGACTTCATCGTGATTCGAGACATTGAACTCTTGAAGAAGATCACAATCAAGGACTCTGAACACTTCCTTGACCACACTTCCAATGGATTCGAATCTTTGTTCGAGAGGAGTCTGTTTTTTATGCAAGGTACTGCTTAAGTCATATTTAACAATACTAGTGACTACTTACAATATCTGTCGTTCAACAATTTACCTGTATTCAAATAACTAGCTTCTGCTACCGGTTTTCTCCGGCGTTCCCTCGTTCCCGTGGGATAAAAAGTACCCTATGTGTTATTCTAGACAATGATTTACTCATGTTTCGAATTATATTTTTATTTTTTTAACAAATTTATTCATTAAAATTTTACATAGGTGTGGTGTGGCCTAGTTAAATCTAAAGTCGCCAAACTTTGACATTTGATGGCGAGAGAATACTTATACAAAAACTTACAAACTTTTGCATTTATAATTAAATGTATTATAAATTAAAATAATAATAATTGTGTATTTTCTTTTTGGCTTCCCCAAAGGCCAAGAATGGAAGGACATGCGCTCTACGCTGAGTCCAGCGTTCACAAGCTCCAAGATACGACTGATGGTGCCTTTCATGGTGGAGGTCGGAGATCAGATGATGACTTCTCTTAAAAATCAGATAAAGAATTCAAAAGGTTGGGTTTATACTTTAGATTAGAAGAACAGACTGATCGGTTTTTGTAGAAATAGTTTTTCAGAATAAAGTAAAAAATATTGCCTAATATAATAAATCTGTGTATTTTAGATGGTTACATAGACGTGGACTGTAAAGACCTCACAACACGTTACGCCAACGATGTGATAGCGACCTGTGCCTTTGGTCTGAAGGTGGACTCTCAAACTGACAAGAACAATGATTTTTACGTAACTGGCAAGTCCGCGTTTGAGTTTAAATTACATATGCTGTTGGTGTTCTTTCTTATTTCTAAAATTCCTTATCTGCAACAGGTGAGATATATAAAGTTTGTTACAATACTCTAAAAATATCATCTGTAATAGTTATGTTAATTTTCATAAAAGTCTCCCTTACCATAACTATATAAAAGGATGATTATGTCGAGCTTCATTCAAATATTTTTAGTTAGAAGAAGAAATCATCAACAAAAAAGGTCAACGAATATTAAATCATATTTGATTTTATTACAGGCCTTAGACTGGAGTGTCTTACCTAAGCAAACCCAGGATTATTTTATGAATCTTTTTATGAGCACAATGAAGGAGCGAGAATTGAAAAAAATCGTCCGACCTGATATGATCCACTTGCTTATGGAAGCTAATAAAGGTAAGTTAACAATTTAGTAAAAAACTCTTATGCTCGGGCCACACTAGCGTCAACGTCAATGCCGATTATCGCGATGTTTACTACGATAATTATTGCGATAATTTTAACGCGATAAAGTGGATGGCTACACTTGAAATTTCAACGTGAATACGCCTAACGCCAAACGGCAATGTGAATACCGTTGTCGAATAATCGCGTTAACTCGTGGCTACACCTACGGTGAAGCAATGGCATTTCTCGTTTGTGTGGCCCGAGCATTATAATATTTACCGTGATATTAAATTAAAGTTTATTCATAATTTCAGGCAAATTGTCTCATGAAGAAGTCAAGTCTACCGACACTGCAGCTGGATTTGCAACCGTTGAAGAATCATCGTATGGCCAGAAATCTATGAACAGAGGTGATAGTCTATTTAAATTTAGAATCTTTACAGGCGACAAAATATAGGCACACACGGAAATTTAGGAAATAGTGTGATGTTCATTTAGTTAAGAAAAGTGATGAATGGTCGAGTGGTCGCAAATGTGACTGCTGGGCAAGGGTTCTCGGATGCGATTTCCGGGTCGGGCAAAGTATTACTGGGTTTTTAAAAATCCTCAGCATTAGCACCAAGTCGGGTATAGTATATATGGCAATAGGCTCATAACATAACATGGAACTCATAACATAAATAGTGAAAAGTGGGTGTATCATTGTACAGTGGCATGAAGTTCCGTGATGTATACCTCTGCCTACCCCTTCGCTGATAAAAGGCGTGATGATATTAATGAAAAGAGAAAATCCTCAAACTATGTTAGTTGATTATGTACGTCTGGTAAGCTACTGCCTAATTGTGATGTAAGATAAGATTCGGCCCATTATTCTTTGGTTTTCATCACGTTTTCATCGTCTAATTTAACTTATTACAATCGCCACAAGTAGTTATAAAGTAATTTTTATATTTCAGTGTGGAAAGATGAGGATCTTGTTGCTCAAGCATTCCTATTCTTCGTCGCTGGCTTTGAAACTGTTTCATCCAGTATGTGCTTCATAATGCATGAGTTGGCTGTACACCCTGACGTGCAGGACCGTCTGGTGCAGGAGATCAGGGAATATGATGTCAAGAACGGTGGCAAATTCACCTTCGATTCTATACTAAATATGAAGTATATGGATATGGTGGTGTCTGGTAAGATTTTGTAACGACTACTTTCATAAATAGAATCCAATATTTTCACTTTAAAAGGTGTTAGTTCGTAGTTTTATATTGGAATCTACGATCTACAACTTGAAATGAGCTGTTTGTTTGCAAACATAACTTTACGCCTGTCTCCCATGTGGGTAAGCAGAGACTTTGGAACTTCAATAGCTATGATTCTTATATAACTCTTTTGCTTCATCTTCTTCAGCATGCATGAAAGTGAAGTGATCACTTTCATGCATGCTCATCCGTTCAGGGTTAATTTGATCCTTGTTTAATAATTCGCTAATCTGGTCAGTATATGTCGTGATTGTTCAATTACATAATTTTCATACTTTTGATATCCTTTTTTTGTTTTTCCAGAGGTATTAAGGCTCTGGCCACCAAATGTTGTGCTAGATAGAATTTGTACCAAAGATTACAACATGGGCAAACCGAATCCGACCGCCGAGAAAGACTTTATTGTAAGTTATATTGTTGATACTTTTTGGTATCAAAATCAAAATAAATTATTATAATTTTCCGATTTCACTTTTCATCAGACTGAGTATTGCAAGGACGCTGACATACGTATATTCAAGTGAATCTGTTAAGTACTTAAAATTTTTGTTTTGATTAATACATTTTTCTACATAAATATATTTCAGATTCGCAAAGGCTCCCCCATCATGATACCTTCATATGCCTTCCACCATGACCCTGAATACTTCCCTGATCCAGAAAAGTTTGACCCTGAGCGTTTTTCTGATGAAAATAAACACAAGATCAATCCGATGGCGTACATGCCTTTTGGGATTGGTCCTAGGAATTGCATAGGTATGAAACGAGATAATAATTAATTTGTTGACGCCTTAGTACCTTAAGCGCTTGATATATCGTACCGAAAATACCCAAAATTTGTTCATACAAAAGTAGTCTCCAAAAATAGGAAATAAGTTCTATAATGGAGCCAGTGAAGAACGGTCACCGGTGACCGCTTGGGAATTGATCAGAAAATAAATAATTATCTATAGCTTTGGTTGTTAGTGGTTGCAAAAATCGGGTTGAATTATTTTATGGGCATGAAGTATGTATTATTAGAACACCGATTTTCTAAATTCTGATTAAAAGATCGTTTCTTTAAATAATGTCCCATGTGGGGACAAATGCACTCACATGTTACGCTTAAGACATACTCTTAACAATAGTTCTTCTAACAGGATCAAGGTTTGCGCTCTGTGAGTTGAAGGTGATGTTGTACCAGCTGCTTCGAGAGATGGAACTGTCTCCATGTGAGAAGACCTGCATCCCTGCAAAATTGGACACTAAGAGTTTCAACAACAGGCTGGTTGGCGGACATTGGCTAAGATTCAAGCCTAGAAACTAGAAAGAAAGAAAGAAGAGATGCATATCTAATCTAGGTATTTTTTATTACTCGTACCTCTATATCTTTTTTTTAGTAATGTATTTATGAAATAAACATATTATTGTGTACGTTTAAGTTATTTGTCGTTTTCTTATTTCATGCATTTTGTTTACTTGGTAAGTCGTATTTAAAAATTTTGAATCCAATAACTAAGAATCTGTATCTCTGAATGCTAAACTAGTACGACTATCAAACTTTAACTGCGTTTTTAAATGTTATTAAAAATCCATGTTTGTTTACGGTAGATTAATATATCAACGTTCGTTACGGGTGACCGTGCCGTACCAGACCGTATTAATTATCCGGGTTAATTACAACCGTGAATTATACCGGCCAATTACGTCACCAGCCTAGCCATTGGATATTTTTAAGTATTTCCCAAAATGGACAAGTTCGTTATTAATGCTAAGTTACTTGATTGAGATTGGTATTATTTTATAATGTTTGAAGTTATTTTTAATGCAAAACTACTTTGGAGCAAAAATATTCTTGTGATGATGATGGTGATCATATTTTATAGGTAATCGACAGAGGTGCCTGACCATTATCTTAATGCAATAAGTTGCGTTTAAGTCAAACAACATTTTGTGGTATGCTTTTTACGTCTGTAGCTTCTCTCATTAGTTAGCACCACCTGGCAAAATATGATGAAAATCAAAGCAATGTAAATGGTACCTGCATCTAATACGTTTAAACTAGTAATTCTTGTATATGTATATTGTATACAAACGATCATGGAAACGGCTCCAACGATTTTCTTGAAATGTTATATGTAGGCGATTTTGGGGGTGACAGATCGATCAGGTTTCATTTACAGAAAATGTCGGTTTGGTCGTATTGAATAAAAATTCTTATTAAAATGCAATGCTAAACGCAATGATGTGTAATAACGTTTAGATAGCTTAGTCGGGAAATCGGGTTCCCTCCACGGTAGAACATTCGAGTACAATCCTCGGCCTGACTGTTTCTTTTATTTTTATGTTTTCTATTTTATGTTTTGTTCTATTTTTTTCCATATTATTATATTTTGTTTCCCTATAAATTTCAGACCCAGAAAAAAGTTCAGACATTGAAATATTAAACCCATAACCAGTGTTTGGAGTGCACCAAAATGCTTTAACAAATTCTCCTTTTTCGTTGGTTACCGATTAAGCTAAAACTTCCTCTGGCGGCTGGCTGTCTGCTATATTTTCGAATTTATTATGTAAATTAGCGGCGACTGTTGCAGCTAATCCTGTAGCTTCTTTGTTTTCGCTTACATTATTCATTTGTTTTCATTGCGCTAATGACCTCTTGATGACAGCCTTACAAATGGCTTTTGGGATATTAAGAAAAATAAGTTTTGGCTTGTAATCATACTATGTCTTGACCTATTTGCATTTAAAGGTAAGGTAAGTATAATTTAATTTTGATTTGACTTTGAATGTAGATTCAACATTGTCTTCAGGACTTCAAACATTGTATTAACCTGTGACTCCTCTGGTGTTGTGGGTGTCCATGGGCGGCCCTGATCGCTTGCCATCAGGTCATCCGTCTGCTCGTTTGTCTCCTATTCCATAAAAAAGTAGATAAGTGCACACTTGAACAGTACTAGTGCAAGTGAGTATTCTGTTTGATTGGTTTTAACTTTAGAGTGTGCTTAAATACATATAATTACAAAAGTACGACTAAGTAATGTTAAATGTAAATAAAGGTATGAAAAAGTATGTATATTTGACTCACTGACATGATTTACAGTTCCCTGTAGACCTACATACATTAGTTGAATCTCAATTCGCAGCATAAATATTGAATAACTACTCTGAATTATTGTAAGTACCTATCTCAGCCGTCACTGTCGATGTCCAACTATCGACTTTATAATGAATTGATTTAAAAGAATATTGAAATTAATTCAAAAAGTATATTCTGTAAAACCCTTTACAAAATGAAAAAAAAAAATACGTGTAACGAATAATAAAATAAATATGCGACTTTTTGATATACATACAAAGGAATTTTTCAGTTTTGTTGTAATTATATTTGTCGGTACGACATACGTGTAGATTAACAATTTCTTTGTGCCATGACATTAGCTAACGACATACATGTGGGCTCCACCATTTGCCAATATCCTTATAAATACTAGTTTCTTTCAGTTTTTCTTCATTGGTAATTGCTTCACAGAATCTGCAGTAACTATCACTTTCCACGGAATCAACATCAGTGTGAAATGAATAGTGATTATGCCATTTGAAGAATTCGTAATATGCATTTTTATGAAGTATAATGTTCGCCATTTTTTTTGCCAATTCCTTGACTGGCACGTCAACCGCTGATAAATACATTCCATCTGGCATAAACCTGAAAAGACCAATAGATGAAATTAAGATTTTGCATAACACATAGCTTTGTTTCGTGGCACCAATAAATGCATTATCTGCGGAAAGCTAGGCACCTTGTGTAATTGGCACCGCCGTACACCACCGGCACTGCGTAATTGTTGAGAGCCCATAATAACTTTTCTGACACATAGTCTACTGAGAACGAATTCTCAAAAGCCAGATAGAAATAGTAATCATTTCGTAGTTTGCGCAGGCACTTATCCATATTAGATCTTGGACACTTCATCTCTCCACAGTCACCATATATGTCCAACCGCATATTATACGTTTTCAGTTCAATTTGCAGAGTTCTGGCAACCTCAGACCTTCCATTTGGAGCATCACAATTCGATGCAAACCACGCAGCTGCTATCGTCTTCGTCCTCAATATTTTTTTTAACGTATCGTTTATTGGGTCCATGTCCGCCACCTTCATCCAATGCATTTCTTGTTTCGGTCCTATAACATTGCCATACTTGTCCCACACAGATATGTAATTAAAACTTAGATCAGAATTCAATTTATAAGTCCAAGTCCAATTGAAAAAGTTCTGGAATCTCTTGTTACATAGCGGATAGTACTTTTCGGACTCCTTGCTAGTAAATATATATTTCTGATGTGGCTTACGGAGCTTTGGAAAGGGCCAATGCTTGAATGAAACGCGAACAAAAATCGGTGGTCTTATGTCTTTTAAATGAAATACTATCGCATGAAACTCTGTTATGTTTTGCAACAACGTTCTGTTCCCCGTGACAAAACAGTTTGTATGAGGACAACCTTTTTCAATGAACGCCTTTCTACCTTCACCTAAATAACAAATTGGCTCTTCCGAAAGCGGTGTCCATACCAATATATATTTTAATGATGAATTAAACTGTTGTTCTAAATGATATTTGTATAAATCCATAAAAACTTTGGCGACGTTGTTATAAATAATACTTAAAATCACAACACCAATAAAATATTTGCCTAATCTCCGATTTAATAATTTCTTGCGATTCAAGATTTTTGTAAATAAAGTTTTTAAATAAAAACACTTCATACTGATTTTTGATACAAAATTAATATAAAAACAATTCTTTCAAAACATAAACAAACATAAATGTCAAAATGTATGCACTAGTGATGGAAAATTTCAATGTTATTCAATGATATTTAATACAACTACTAATTTTTATGATCGATTTGTCTCGGTTCTGTCATTTCTTGAACTTTATACTAAAAATAAGACATCGATTTAATCGAATTTTACGTTCAGGGATATAGTTATTTTACGATTGTTTTTATTCGCACTGTGATGTAGGTCTCACCACTACCTCTCGGCTAAACTTCTGAACGAAATACAACATTAACTAAAAATTGCGGGTTACCCACGTGAATATACTGAGAAAAGCTCTACTAGTTTCGAACCACAGAGGGATTATTTTTCAAGAGCAGTGTGCGTGACAAAGGAATTATGGTGTTTTGGAAATTAGTTCAATAGATGGATTAATGTGCTGTGTCAAAAATGGGAGGACCTGCAACCAGTATCTTATACCGTAATTGTTACTATGCCAAAGCGATTGCTAATCGAATCGCTAGTTGACCTAGTGTTAAATTAAAAACAATTAATCGAATTCTTTAAAATATTGTACGATTTTCAACTGTGTATACATCACTAGCAAAGTTTTCCAGTTACGCGTATATTTATGTCAAACATTAAAGAAAGAGAAACAATAATAATGCACACCAGAAGAAAAGAGATGTGAGATGGTTAATAAATAATTAATAAATCAGCTATATAATACATGGAAATACTTATTTTTCTTTATAATCGAATTTATGAAATGATGTTGAATGAATGTTTTTCTATTATTAGTTTCTATACCTAATGTGTCGCGCGCGCCTCAAAGAGCCATCAGACCACCACAGATGGGGCCCAACAGGGCCGATGCCGATCCGGAGTCGCGGAGAACCTAACGGGTAACCGGGGCTCCAGCTCGACGTGCAGGAGAAGGAACGGGGTGGTCTTTAGTCAGTAAGAGTCTGACACTCCCTCCAGCCTCACCCAGGCGGGAGCAGTCATTCGATGATTTTCCCCTCTAAAAAAAAACCTAATGTGTATTGTTAATGGAACTGAAGACCAAACACTTACTTCAAAAATAATTGTCTTCAAAAAACTTCAAAAGTAATTGTAAAATCTAGAAAATAGCCAATGTTATAAACTAGGCATACGTAGAGAAGAATCTCTGCCTACCTTGGGGTTAAAAAGGCGTGATGCTACATTATTCAATTTCAATTCGATGTCAACAGGCCATTTAGGTGATCATTCACCTCCTGAAATCCTTACACCTTTATTTATTCACATGACAATGAAACCAAATGAAGCACTTTCGACCTTAAAGACATCGTGAATTGTTCTAACGTCCTTAATCGCGGTGTGCAGTGTTGCCAGCTCCAATGAGCATCCCTCAGCCGGCTCATTAAAGACGAAGTTGGCTCGCAAACTGCCAAGATAAAGTTACTATATCGGTCCCTTGATTAAAGACCACTTTATTTATTCCCCATTCTTTGTTTTGTTGATTGCCTATTAGCAGAGATTGTTTTGTGTGGAGTTTTAGATGAGTATTTGATTTCTTTGGTTGCAATCTCTGGTTCAAAAAGACTTTTGAGTAGACTTGTTTGTCTTTATTTTGTTTAAAGTATGCAAACGTTAACAACATCTCCTAAAATATTTTTGAGGCATCTTCTTCAAAAGCATTACATAAATCTTAACAATTTTAGATTGTAACAAGCATACTCAGGAAGATGTTAATGCCGCGCGTTGTTTTAAATTCGTGTAACTTCTGGTATTACGGTGGAAATCCCACGGCGGCACACATACACATACGGTATAATAAAAGTGTACGAACAACTTTGTGGAAACAGCCGCTTTACGATGCGCGGTCGGATACAGACAGACTTGAGGGATGACTAACTTAGTACTCGACCAGTCTCAAGTATTTTAAATCTTTTATTATTTGTTGGTAATCAATAGGAACAACGGGCAGTAACAGCATGATTGTGTATAAATCTCGTCTATTAGCATCATCAGCCTGGTTTACATCCCTTTATTCTGAAGAAACATTCATACATAAATGTTTTGATAGAAGAAGAAGAAGAAGTAGATGTTTAAGACTTGAGTATCTGCTTGCAAGTAGTCTAAAAAAGGTGTTAATAACAAAGTATCACATTTACAGACATAATTCAATATATTTGCTGATGTACAAAGTTGTCCGTATTGTACAGGGTCCGCTAAGTCTGTAGCGCAGTTGATGGGAACTAATGTTGCAAAGCTTTTAGCTAAACCCCCCTCCCACCACCTGTCGTCGTACAATGCCCCTCATTACACGTCACATAAATAACAAAAGGCTGTTTCGAAACTTCTAGAAAAATGTCTTGAGGACGTGGTTAGTTGTGTGGCTAATGTTGCAAATTAGACTAGTGTTTTCTTTACAAAAACTGCCACGTTAAAGGGAGAATGATCAGGAAACAATTAAAGTTTTATAGCTACCTGGGAGACCGGCACGTTTGGAGAGATATGTTATATGTAGGTTGTAGATAATCCCAATACTACTTTTGATTTATATAGATATTTCTTTATCAAGATATGAAATTAAAACAAGATTAACACTTATAGCTGATAAGTTTTATTATTTATTTATATTATACATAATATACGAAAATCTTAAACTAATGAATTAACTAAAAATATTTCCTTTCAATTATCTAACACATTGGAGCCAAATGAATAGGTTCATCGTTAGCTGCGACCCACGCATCTCCTGTCTTTGCGACCTTGAAGATCTCCACGGCAGCTTTACCAACAGTCTCTGGTGTTTGCACTTTCATTTCTGATACGTTTTGATCGGATGCTTCTCTGTGTATATCCCATATTTTAACATTAAGCATTACTGTGTCAGTAAAACCTGGACATATGGCAATAACTCTGACACCCGTCTTTTCGTAGTTGAAGGGATGGCCAAGAGATCTTGTGAAACCCATAACTGCATGCTTTGCAGTTTTGTAGAATACTGTGAATGGATCATATTCGTATGAATATATTGAGGCCACATTGTATATTGTGCCTCCGCGACCGCCTCTGTCCGTTCTCCAATGCTCCCAGAATTTCATACTCCATTCCACTAATGCAATGCAATCAATTTCAATTGTCTTCCTTATTGAAAACTCATCTATAATTCCTGCATTGTTAATAAGCACATCTACGTCGTATTTCTGGAATATTTCACTGGAAACTTTGTCTAAATCTCTCGTGATGTCACATTTTATGAAGACAGCTTTGCCTTTACCGTGTTTAGCGTTTAGTGTAAAGGCTGATTTGACACCAACTGCATCGATTAGATCCAATATGATAACAGTTTTTGCACCGTTTGTCAGAAACTGGTCAGCAATCTCGTATCCTATGCCCCTCGCTCCTCCCGTTATCACGATTACTTTATCTTTAGGATCGTTTGCCATTTTAACTGCGTTACGCAAAGTGTTCTACAGAATTGCTTGTGTACTTATGGCATCAAAATTAATTACAATGCTTTATATATTATATTTCAGGATATGAATAGCTTTATCTAAGAATCTTTGATATTTAATCAAAACAAAAATTAAGATAAACATTTCATAATATTTCAAAACATTGTATAAATATGTAGCTCGACAAATTTAGAGTTTGAAAGAAATTGTTATTCATGTAGTTGTCGCAACACACGATGCAGTATTTTATCTCGTTGTAGTGTGGGTTGTACAAAAAAATAACTGAAGTATGCTTAGTTTATATATATTTTTGTAATTTATAATAAGCTAGAAACTACATATTTGTACAAGAAAACCAACGTTAGACAGATGCTATTAACTTAAATCTATTTACAATCGTAGCGACTTGAACAAACTTAAGCCGTTTCTTTACACATTGGAGCCAGTTTGACGGGTTCATTATTTTCCGAAACCCACACATCTCCTGTATTTGCTATCTTAAATACTTCCACCGCAGCCTTACCAACAGTATCTGGTGTTTGCATTACAACTCCTGTCTCCATTACTTTTTGGAATTCTTCCTTCAGCCACTCCCACATGTTACCAGAATGTATAACAGTGTCAGTGAAACCAGGACAGATTGCTATTACCTTCACACCAGTTTGTTTGTAGTTCACAGGATGTCCTAACGATCGCGTGAAACCCAACACTGCACTTTTAGATGTTTTATAGAAAACAGAAAAGGGATTGTATTCATATCCATAAATAGACGCTACGTTGTATATTATGCCTCCACGACCACCTTTGTCTGTCCTCCAATGTTCCCAGAATTTCATACTCCAATCAACTAGTGCCATAAGGTTGACTTCAAGTGTCCTTCTTGCGTTATACTCGTCTAATATCCCTGCATTGTTTATAAGAACATCAACGTGATACTTCTGAAATATTTCACTTGACACTTTGTCCAAATCTTTTGTGACGTCACATTTTATGAAAGTAGCTTTTCCTTGTCCATACTTAACATTTAGTGTTTTTGCAGCTTCGGCTCCTAAGGTCTCAATGAGGTCTAATAAAATCACTGTTTTGGCCTCATTCTTGAGGAACTGGTCAGCGATTTCGTATCCTATACCTCTTGCTGCTCCTGTGACTACAATAACTTTGTTCTTAGGATTTTGTTCCATGTTTTGTCAATATAAAGTCAATTATGACATGGAAAAATATACTACGCTTTTATATACTCCAGGAATTGCATAGTCATATAAAAAAATAAAATTTCCATGTCAATAATTTTGATAAGAATTGAGTAATATTGTGAAACTTTACGAACTCGATTGATTTCGACCTCGAACGGAGTCCGCCAAAGATAATTATATGAAAATGCTTACACACATGCTCATAGCAGAATTGTTTACAATTATAATTTTTATTTTAGAGTTAAGTAATACTACAAAAATGATAATTATGGTTATCCTGTGAATTAACTTTAATTAGTAAGTATCACAAGCCACCAGTTTCTGAGAACATTTTGAAACATTTGTGATATAAATTTGATTGTTGCTACAAAGTTTTTTGAAAATGCTGAACTACATTGAATTTTAAAAAGTTATTAGAAATAAATTAAAATAGCTTTCTTCAAAAGGTTGTACAAGGAATTTAGGAACATAGGTTTTTAATTAAATTTATTATTATTTAATAATCAAGTTATTATCAAGAAGGCAACTAGCTATAATACAAGTTATGCGAACAAGGGAAAGCAATATTTATTTATTTAATTAAGACTAGCTACTTCACTGCTGTTTCGCCCGTACTGCTCGGCGCCTAATTACCGTAGCGTTATGTTTTATAGCCTATAGCCTTCCTTGATAAATGGACTACCTAACGCAAAAAGAATTTTTCAAGTCGGACCAGCAGTTCCCAAGATCAGCGTGTTCAAATAACCAGACAAACAAACAAACAAACATACTGTTCAGCTTTAGTTTTTTTATGGGATATGCCGGTAAACGAGCAGACGGATCACCTGATGGTAAGTAATCGGCATCGCCCATGGACACCTGGTACGCCAGAGGCGTTACAAGTGCATTACCAGCCTTTTGGGGATTAAGAGTTTGATGGTCGTTGGGGATTCAGGGATTGGGAAGATCAGGGAAGGGGAGGGGGATAATTGGGCCTACGGTAACATCACTCACGCGACGACATACAACGCAAGCGTTGCTTCACGTCGGTTTTCTGTGAGGCCGGTCGAACCGGCCTATTTGTGCCGAAGCATGGCTCTCCCTCACTAAGTTATATTATACATGTAATAGTATAAGATGTACCTAGCTTCTATATATATTATAAAAAAAATGTATATAGGTAACATTAGTTTTGTTATAGTAATATCTTCTAAGGTAAGCAGTTACTAAGGTAAGTTAACTGAAAAAAAATAGTACACAACAAATTTTAGGGATGGAACCTAGGTCATACTCTCGGTAGTCGTGCCAGTGATCATTCGCCAGGCAGGAAGGATTTAAAAAAATATTATGAAATTGTGAACTAAATTATGAAATAGCTGTAAATATGAAAAGTAATTGTGTTACATAAGTGATGAGTGCGAAAGAACGTTGAATTATAATATAACGTTTATCAATGATATAATCGGATTCCTGTAGATAAATTGTAGTAGACGTATATATATACAATGGTATGATAACGTTTGTTGGTAGTCCATTCAGCGATACAGACCAGAGCAATAAACAAGGTTTTAAAAAAATAAATCCTTTTAAAATTCAAAATAAAAAAGATATTTGGCGGTTTTCTAAAAGGAAAGACTTTAAGAAGAGAGGAAAAGAAAATAAAGATTTCAAATAAAATTAAATAATTAAATATCCCTATCAATGGATATAAAAATATGAAAATACTGGTCTTTGTTCATGAGAACTCTTACGGCGCGTGTAGCAAAGGAGACTGAAGTCATGATAAATATACCTGGGTCCTGAAGAAAAGGATGGAACGACTGAGAACATTTTTGCTCAACTTGGTCCTCACCATGAATTACACCAACGGCCATCACTGCAATCCACGGCCAATGAAACATGAAAGGATCATACCAAATGGTGCTACGGGGTGTTAGTGTAAACAAAAAAAAGGGGTTTCTACATCTATGGGTATGAAATTGTGCCTCAAGGGGATGCAGAAACCCCATAGCACCATTTATTCCATGTTCAGGTCACACAACCCATTATAATTTGCAAATTTTCAACATTTTTAAAGTACCTTCATGACTTTTATAATAACTATCGTGAGACATATTAAATTATCTAAAACTCGCGGGTCAGTAAATCATGAACCTAAATATACTGAGAAGAGCTCTACTAGTTTCGAGTCACAAAGGGGCTTTATAGTTAGGCCAATGCTCCCAAAATGTATGACATTTCCCCAGTCAATTAATACTTTCAAGTGTCCTTCTTGTGTTAGTATCGTCTGTTATCCCAGCATAGTTTTTGCAAAATCGTCGACGTCATACTTCTGGAATAATATTCATTCGATTCAGATCTTTTGTGACGTCACATTTTATGAATACAACTTTACCATCATCATGTTTACCATTTAGTTTTTCATTCAGCTTCAGTTCCAAGAGACTGGAACTGAACTGCGACTGCCTCGTTGGCCGATTGATCGCAAGTGCGACTGCCGGGCAAGGGGTCTCGGGTTCGATTCCCGGGTCGGGCAAAGTATCACTGGGTTTTTTATCAGTGGTAGCACGGAGTCTGGAATTGTCCCGTTATATGGCAATAGGCTCACCCCCTATTACATGCGACTCATAACATAAATAGTGAAAAGTGGGTGTTACATTGTACAGTGACATAATGTGCACCTCTGCCTACCCCTTCGGGGATAAAAGGCATGATGTTATGATGATGATGATGAGTTCCAAGAGTTTCGTTAAGGTCTAATAGTTAATATAATCATAGTTTTAGCTCCGTACTTCAGAAACTTGTCAGCGATCTCGTATCCTATACCTCCCGCTCCACCTGTCACTACAACAACTTTGTTTTAGGTCTCGCTCCATGCCGTGTGTGAAAGCACTGTTCAGCTATATTAACGATATTAAAACGCCGATAAAGATATAAAAAATCTGTTCATAAAAATATCACCCCTTATCATAGTTAAACATCGATAAAGAAATTCATAACAGTATTTTGTTAGGTAAATAAAAAGAAATAATTCACAAAACAAATACAATAGTCTCCAAATTGATATGAAATCAGTTAGTTACATAACTGGTGTAAGTGGTAACTTGCAATATGGTGTGCTTCTGACAACTTTTTGGAATAAATAGCGCAAGATATTAAAGTCCTTAACACAACAATTATAATCGGTACATGCGCATTGGGGAATTGATATGTGTAGTAATAATTACAATATCGCTTTTCGAATCAATAGCAAAACATATCTATCAGCTATGGATCGTTTAGTGATATGGTTGCTAATAGAGATTCATATCTTATTTACAGATATCTCCCTTTACAATCTGTATTTGTTGTTTGGCCATGGTAATGTTAATCATTGGCAAAAGCTAAAAACAATCACACATGTCGCTGTCGTCGTACGTTATGTATGTTGTTACGTCGGCCACATCATCGCTTACCACCAGGCGAAATGGTGGCCAAACGTCAACCTAGTCAGTGTAAAAAAACGTAATGACTTTAAATCATTAAGTGACAAAATTAAACTAGTAAAGTAATGTATGCCAATCGTTTATTTTACTATTGTATATGAAATATACATAAATAAAGAAAAAAAAGAAATTTCAGTGTCTATTTTGGAGGCTGCTGTTCCGTAAAATAACTAACTCCACAACTATGAAAATATATCACAAAAATAATATATTTAGATCATTACTTGAAGATAAGTATGTACGCAAAAATGGAATGTATGACTACTGTACTCAAGGGGCCACTTCTTCATATGTAAATTGTACTAATTTAATTGGTTCATTGTTTTTAGCGACCCACGTTTCTGCAGTATTTGCAACCTTGAAAATTTCCACAGCAGCCTCACCAACTCTCTCAGGCTTCTGAATCACAACTTCTTCCTTCATCACTTTTTGGAAACGTTCATTGTGGATATCCCATACTTCACCAGTAAGTATCACAGTGTCAGTAAAACCTGGACAGATCGCAATCACTCTCACACCACTTGTCTCATAATTAGTAGGGTGCCCTAACGATCTCGTGAAATTCAACACTGCACTCTTTGACGCTTTGTAGAAAACAATAAATGGATTGTTTTCATATCCATAAATAGAGGATACATTGTATATCGTCCCTCCATGACCACCATTGTCAGTTCTCCAATGCTCCCAAAACTTCATGCTCCAGTCAATTAGTGCTATAAGATTGATTTCAAGCGTCTGTCTTACACTAGCCTCGTTTAATACTCCTGCATTATTTACAAGTACGTTGACGTCATATTTCTGGAATATTTCTTGCGATACTTTATCCAGATCTTTTGTGACGTCACACTTTATAAAAACAGCTTTACCTTCACCGTGCATAACATTCAGTTTTTGTTCAGCTTCAACTCCAAGAGTTTCGTTAAGGTCTAATATAATCACAGTTTTAGCTCCGTACTTCAGAAACTTGTCAGCGATCTCGTATCCTATACCTCCCGCTCCGCCTGTCACTACAACAACTTTGTTCTTAGGGTCTCGCTCCATGTCGTGTGTGAGTGCACTGCGTAGCGACAATAACAATATAAGAATGCCAGTGTATCAGCCAACATTCGTTTAGAGGCGTCAATACGCTTACACACCACTTATCACAGTCAATTTATGTTGATAATAAATTAGACTCTATCGTTGATCGAGAGATCGCAAGATAAGTGTGACTGAGTTTATAGGTTTTGCTAAGTATTATTGAGATAATGTCAACTTTTCAAAAATGCTCAGTTACTAACGTGGAGTCTAAAATTATATCTAGGGCATGGCAATAAGGTTACCTTCTTAATAGAATATTCTTAATAGAATATTTATCATAGCTGGTGAAAAGTTGATGTGTATTGTCTACATAATTATATGCAATTATGTACCTTATGTATAAAGGATAAAAAGTGTAATAGCATGTAATAGTAATCGTAGCGATACAGTGTTGAATAAATTAAATAATAGAAAAAAAAAATAGAAATCACCAAACAAATGCGATAGTCTTTGAATTAACTCACGCATTAGCGATTTCATGAAAACTACTCAAATTGTTTGTTTAGTTTTTATTGCTGAGACGTGTAAATTGGACATGTTAGCACAAACATGGTTTGCGACTGACTCGTGTAAAACAAAAAAAAAAACCAATAAAAAGAAGGTAAACCTAGCTCTGCTCGTTTTTTTATTTTTGTTTGTTTCTATTTTTAGTAAAACGATTGATGTAGTAACCGAAACATCAACTTACTTCACAAAGTGCTGTGAGTTAATTCTCGCAGAGAAAAAATACTTTTGTGGTTTTAAAATTTTTTTAACAGGCCAAATCAAAGTATGACGTATTCTCTAACTTTAAAAACTAAAACAATTCCAAATATATTGGCAATGTTGAAAAGTTTGTTTTAATCTATATCTATACTAATATTATAAACAGGAAAGATTTGTACCTATGTTTGTATGTTTGAAATGAATAGAATAATCTCAAAAAGTACTGGACCGCTTTAAAAAATTCTTTCACCAATAGAATGCTACATTCTTCCAATTTGAAATAGGCTACATTTCATTTTGAATAAAAATAGGGATTCTTGGTAAAATTTGAACAATGTAATCGAAGGTGTAGACAAGTGAGTCTTAAAATGTCTTTCTTCGAATGCGCTGCCGAAACTAGAGGTATTAGCGATAGAACAAAATAATGTACAACAATATTGAAAAACACCATAATGTCTACAAAAAACTCCGCGGTAGCATATGTCCAACTATTGTAGTTATGTCGCTACAACAATCCAAACTTCCAAAAATAAGTAATTGTCTACCCCGTGCGAAGCCGGGACGGGCTGCTAGTACCTAATAAAATGAAAATGTTGTGCACGTAGGTGTATTACTAAAACAAAATTTTATCTTATAACAATTACGATAACATATCTACAAAACCTCTAATTGCAAACACATAACGTTGCATAGTAAAACATTTAGTCTGTTGTGTGTGCGAACCCGGTTGAGCAAGATTATTATGTAAAAAACATACCTAATTACTTTTTCATAGGAAAAATATACTAATGCATTATTTAATTACGTTATAAAATAAATACTTAAAGGGATAGGCAGAGGTGCACAAGTATTAAAATGTTTTACCAATTAACTTCTAATAGCATTACTATATTTCAGATGTAAATAGATCACAGTTTGTGTCTGGCCAGAAATATTTCAGTATTACTATAACGTAGAATGGTTGTGACGCAGTTTCTAATGCACAGAGTTTGGAAAGATCAAGGAGAAATTATAATACAAGGAAATTTAAAATAAAAACATTTTTAACAAAATAACAACATTTAATTATAATTACCAGAATGTAGTGTTGCACAACAACCTCATAATGTTGAATTACTTAGCAACTTCAACAATAGGTCTTGCTCCCTCAATCAGCCAGGCAGTTCCACTGTCACCGTTTTCGAAGATATCCACAGCAGCCTGGCCCACTGACTCCACTTTCTGCCAAGCTTGTGCTTTGAGGAATTGTTCGAATTCTTTGTCTTGTCCCATGTCCCAGGCCTGTGGCGCTGCCGTCAGTTTGGTCTCAGTAAATCCAGGGCACATTGCCAGTACTCGTACACCGCTCCTCTCGTAGTTGGCCTTGTGTCCCAGAGACTTTGTGAATCCCATTACAGCGAACTTCGAAGCTTGGTAAACAGGTAAGAATGGGTCAACTCTGTAGCCGTAGATAGAGGCAAGGTTCAGAATGGTACCTCCGTTTCCACCCTTGTCCTTCCTCATGTGGTCCCAGAAGGCTAAGCCCCATTCACAAACTCCTGTCACGTTGATGTCGATGGTCTTCTTCAGCAAGCGGTCGTTGAGTATTCCAGCGTTGTTGAGAAGGATGTCGACCTTGTAATTTTCGAAAATCTTTTTCGATACAGGTACTAAGTCTGAAGTGACGTCGCATTTCATGAATATGACCTTGTTGGCTCCATGTTTGGCGGATAGTTTTTGGACGGCTTCATTTCCAAGTTTCTCGTTGATGTCGAGAAGGAAAACTAATTTGGCGCCTTTAGATAGATATCTGTCGGCGACCTCGTAGCCGATACCTTCGGCTCCGCCGGTGATGACCACAACTTTGTTTGCTAAGCTTTTCTCCATAGTGTGAGGTTGTCGGGCGCACTTGTAAAACTAGTAGATTTCGGAACTGACCGTGTTTTATATCGGGCGGGCGGTGCAGCCGTTGAATAAACAACTCGTTATATATGTTATTTGAATCACGTAGTCATTGATAGACAGATATATTGTTATTGTTGAGTGAAACAGAGATTGTTTGACATTTGATCTTATAATATGGTCTGATCTGTTTTGTTACATAAATATATAAAAACCACTTTAGATAGTGGTAATCTCTCTCGTCCATATTTACTGTTGATTGGTAATTCCCCTAAAATTGGTAAGTGGAATATTTTTTATTTGGATATTGTTATTTGCTTTGGAAGAACTCCTATAGTCAAGGTGTTACTAGTGCGTATATTAGAATAATAATAAAAAATTGTATAATAATAATCAAATTATTTAAATCAAATCAAATTGTTTTGTTGCAAATATAGGTAAAATTAACAGCAAAGTGTGAGATATTACAGATAATTACAAAACATAGTTTAAAAAAATGTAAAAAATGTAAAAAATGTGAAATAAATTGTAAGAATTAGTGATAAATTAAAGCTATTCGCATCATTGTTAAAAGTTCGGGAGCATTTAATTTTGTTTGGGACTAAACTAAAGACTATTTAACTAGCAGTTGCACTATAATTGAACGGACAGAATAATACATCATTATCACTATCCGTGCTATGTATGTAAGCATATAATATTTATATATGCATCATAACTGGCGCTTATTGTTTATGGCCGCATATCCGCGTCTGAGTGAGGTGTGCAAATTATGCTAACAAGCAAATAGACTCCATTTATCTGGATATAATGTAGGTAAGTATAGATAATACAGTAAACCTGCTTTTAATTGAGATGTAGCGTTTTAAACATCGTCTTATGGATTGTAATGTTTCATCCCCAAGTTAAATATTAATATACATACGAACTACATGACTTTTAATATTATTTCATACTTTTTCGTTGCGTAGAATATGATTCCTGTATTATCCCATGGAAGTATTATTTGGGATAAAAAGTATCCTATTACCTAAGTCAACCCTGTATGTCAAATTTCATCTAAATCTGTTCAGTAGTTTCAGTGTGATTGACAAACAAACATCAAAATAAAGAAACATTCACATTTATAACCCGGCAAACTTAGTACCGCCAAATTGTTTTTCTCATCTTTCACACCTTCCCTGGAATTCTACGAACATTTCTAGTCTAAAATTAGCCAAATTGGTTTAGCAGTTTTCGACTTTTAGCGAGACTAAGGAACAGCAATTCATTTTTATATATAAGGAGATGTAGATAGTTTAATATACCTCTATAACAATGAATCATCATACCTAAGAAGATATAAATTACAGACATTTGATAGTACTTACACTGTTCACATAACACAACATCACGCCTTTTATACTCGAAAGGGTAGGCAGAGGTGCACGTAATGCAACTGTACAATGTAACACCCACTTTTCACTTATGTTATGAGTCCCATGTAATAGGGGGTGAGCCTATTGCCATATACCGGGCACAATTTCAGACTCCGTGCTACTACTGAGAATTTTTAAAAAACCCAGTAGTTCTTTTGTTCGACCCGGGAATCGAACCCGAGACCCCTTGCCCGGCCAACGAGGCAGTCTTACACTGTTCACTCACTTTTTAATATTCTTTGATCATTATTAAAAACAAATAAATATGTTGTACAATTGTTTTTGCAGATTATTAGTATAAGAGTTTCCCACTACAACTGATTTAACGACTTCGATCATTCTGCCAAGAGTTAGACGACGAAGAAAATAATTTAGAATTATTTTTAGAACAATTTTGAGTTTAAATATCGTACATACGCATGAGTAATGTAGGAGCTTTGACTGACCTAGTATAATTATTATGCTATGTTTGGGTACACCAATTAACGACCATGTGTGACAATAAATAAAAAACATAACATAATTAATATTATCAGAAAGCTTGTATGAATTTATATTACTAATTTAATTTTAACATTATCGCTCATCATGGCGCCAAAATATAATTATTTATGTTATATATTTATGATTCAGAGTAAGTGATAGACTAGGTTTTTATAAAAATGCTCAGTAGTAGCACGGTATCTGAAATTGTGTCCGGTGTATGGCAATAGGCTCACCCCCTATTACATGGGATTCATAACATTAATCGTGATAAGTGAGTGTTACATTGTACAGTGGCATTAAGTGCCGCGATGTGCATCTCTGTTTACCCCTTCAAGGATAAAAAGCGCGATGTTTTGATGATGTCAAATTATTAAAATAAGATATATCATAAACGTTATAAGACTGCCTCATTGGTTGAGTAGTCGTAAGCATGACTAGCAAAGCAAATGAGTACAGAGTTCATAATAGGGTAGTTGCCAGGGTAAGAAAATTAAAAATCTAATTAGTCCGAGAGTTACATAATGAAAAAATATTCGACACATATTTTTTTATTTAGTCGTATAAATTTACAATACTTAGATAAAATGGAGTTAGGTTTAGGAGTGGTTGTTACAAGCGTGCTACAAAATGTGGCACGTTGTGACGTCACACGATATTTCAAATCAATATATCGTCGAAAGCATTTAATTTTGCGAGAAAATTAAAAAAATACGTGTCTAATGTTTTAAAATAATCTACCAGACGGACATTAAAATAAAATTTAGGAAACTACCCTATTGTATCCAATGTATAGTGACTGACACGCCCCCGGTTACATTAAATTCGTAACATACTGGTAAAAAGTGGTTTTTTTATAAATTTGTAAAATACATAATGATATCATAATGATATATGGTATAAGTCTGACCAGAATATCTTCAGAGAGCACTTACGTAATGTGTGCAGTGGTTATTAAAATTATCTCTATGATAGGCAAACAGTGCTTGTTGTCATTTCACTTTAATCTCCTTTAAGTATAAGAATTTGCACGTTTGGCTTTACATTTTTAGAGTTCCTTGCACTGTAAATAGGTCTTCTTTTATAAACTACATTTAAAAATCTTTAACCTCCTCTTTTCTTGAATGTGCATCAAACACTCGATAAGAAAAAATTGGTTGAGCCGATCGCAAGATATGTCTCACAAAAGTTATAAATAATCGAAAAAATACACAGGAAGAACTGAAATCTCTTTTTTTAAAGTCTGTTAAAAAACTGGCCCTAATAAAGGCCAGTTTACCAATAGGTAAGACTCCACTGACTATCACCAGGCTGTATCTGACTATGATGGATACCCTGATAACTAACATAATTAACTAAAAATCGCGGGTTACTCACGTGAATATACTGAGAAAAGCTCTACTAGTTTCGAACCACAGATGGGTTCTTCCTCATGAGCAGCGTGCGCGGTCGCGGCGATGTCGCGCAGTCTACTTGTCATGTCAACATAATTGTCGTGAATTATATATTTCTGTTGCTGCCAAAATGAACAAACCGCCTAAATTAAACGTGGCTTCTATTTTTGGCGTTGTTACAGACAATGTAATGAACTGAACTTTTCGCGTGTGAGTCTAGCTCGCACTTAGTCAGTTTTTTATCGCTTAATTGCGTCCTTGACTTTCAAAGATGCCTTTGTTGGTCTTATCTATAGTGTTCACATATTTTAACAGGCCAATATCAGACGTAGTAAATGTACTGAACAAAATTTATCTGGAAAAGTTTTAGTACAGCTGCACATGCCAAAATGTTTGTACCTAATTTTATCTGTCTGTCTGTCTGTGTATTTGCAATCGTATCACGTCAAAACTAGTATCATGATTAGTTAGCTTCTCAAGGTCTAGACTACTAGAGTTATTACTAATGCACGCCACAGTACTTGCAACTGATTGTAAAACACGCTATAACATTCAACATATTACAATATTATCCAGTAATACAAGAATAGCACTATAAGTATCGAGTCTTTGAATCTTTCTTCACATGGCAGAATCATGTTTTGGCACAAATCGGCGGGCTTGACATGAGTGGGACCACGGCCTCACTTGCAAATTCTTTGGTGTTGTTAATACCATTGGTGGGGTGCTGAACATCAAGAGATTTGTCCACAAAAAGCTTTGATGTAAATGACCAATATGCATTTTCAAACAAACAATATCGCGGAAAATATCTAGTATCAAAACTGCCTTGACTGTGACCGATAACACACAATAAGTGGAATGGAATTATTCTCAGTCCGTTGTATGTGACATGTATAATAATTTATACATTATGTACATGTTATCTACCTGCCTACATTGATAGGAAATTATTTTCCTTGTATTAAAAAATGCATTTTTGAATACAAGGACCTTTTTATCCCCGAAGAGGTAGGCAGGCAACGAGAAGGTATATATTATTTAACCGAATTTAGTAGTAGTATGGTTAATAAAACAACCATGAACTGTTCTAACTGTGTCTACAACCAGCTTGCTTGCAGAATGCCAATATGTCAAACCCCTTTTTTGTAGAAGAGTTTCATGGTCTAGTAGTGGAGTCGGAAGAATTGCTATTGACGAGGTGTATTACTATTGATGTTTTCCTAAAACAATATTTATATTACTGCTGCTAGAGAGTGATGGCATAAATGGATGATATGATTCAGTAATCGGACAGTTATATCCCAAGTAGGTATACACATCGATAATCCTTGTAAGTATAATTATTACTCTTATTTTCATTTCGATAATTATTGAGTGTATCTAAAGTCACACTGAAAAAAAAAACATAAACATAGACGTCTTGGCAACAATTTAATCAGTATTTCAGACCTCACATGCAGTTAATCGCATAGATAGCAATAACATGATAATATACACGAGGAAAATACAGACATTTTTTTAACAATGAATGATTAACACGTAGTTGACTGATGCCTAACATGGTTTGTTTTGTGTGATCCATGAACTGTCGTTCTATGTCTGGCAGTGATAATTATGTATGAAATCGTACTAAAGAATCGCATAAATCTTATGAACGACTTTTATGAAAAATTATACTTTCATCTCCATAGTCACTCTTGCTTAAACTATCAAACACCGCGAAGACACCGGTGACCGCAACCTATTGTTCTTTAATTGTGTC